TGCAGGCAAAATTCTCAATATGATACTTCTAAATCATGAAGGGGTCAACACCATAGGATACCATTGTTGAGATATCCAATCTTGTGAACACAAAGGCAAAGAACCAACACAAGAGTAGCCTCAATGACAAGCTTGTACATAGTCACCACAATTAGGAGAGTGTAAGTGACTAATTTTTCCATTCTACTTTAGTTATGTAACCACATCTTCGACCACTTGAAGGAGTCTTATTCACAACCTCCATAAGTCTAATTCAGGATTTAGGACTTACTAGCCCTGAGAATGACATCCATGCCATTTAACCTTTGGACTTGGTCCAAGTGCTCCACGTGTCTAGTCCCATGATCAACACCCCAAGGTACCACCGACATATTAGCCCGTTACGCTAAGGCCATGCCTATTCACCTTAGTCACACTAGTGGTCCAACACCACTTGCATCGTAGTCCCGTCTCTCAAAGACTGGGCCATCTGTCCATGAGAGACCATCCAAGATCCATTCCCTAGCATCCTTAAGATGCCCATAGACATGGGGAACAACCTTCCCCAATATCCCTTTTATAGGCCCCACTAAGTCTCTTTTCTGTCCATGGCCGTGTTCGCCAACACTGCCACTGAAACAAGGCCCATAGGCACAACCACTAAGTCCCACTATCCCTTGGGACTTCCTCACCACATGATCGTATCCTTGGTCATTACACCAGAGGACCACTCCTCTTCCTTTCCATAGTCTGGGACTTTGGGACAATATTTTGGAACATCATGGCCCTATGCAAGCCTCATGGGTACTCTCCCCACCTTCTGCTTTTGGGTGCTTTAGCTATGGGCTTAGAGTGAGGTTCCGTTAAGCCACGCTTGGTATCCAAGTAGGTAGTGCCATCCACGCGTGGATTGGTAGCATTGACCATTCGATCTCCCAGGGAAACTAGAGTTAGCTCTTGAACACTTCACCAAGTTACCCCGCTTCTTTGGACTTCTCAGTGGTTATCTCATCACCCAACAGCTAGGCATGGCCTTCTTGGGCCAAACTAGCCTTTCCTGGCCAAATTGGCTCTATTGGGGTCCAACCCCCACACTCTCCCTACTATACTTTTGGAACCCCCCCCCCCCCCCCCTCGGGGGACGATTTCTTTGGGCTTTCACCCAACATCGTGTATTAGTATTTGGACCTGGACTTGGACTTAGACTCGGTCTCGGTCTCGGTTCCATCTCGGATTCCATCTCGGGTTCATCTCAGACACCATCTCAAGTCCATCTCGGGTCCATTTCGGGTCCATCTCGGACTCCATCTCGGACTCCATCTCAGGTCCATCTCGGACTCCTTCTCAGACACTTCCATATGTCATGTGTTGGTCCTCTTATGTTCCACTCCCACTCTCAACCTTTCAAGTTGGAGCTTTTAGTCCAAACATGTTACGCTTATTTGGCTCTCGCTTCAGCCACTACCACGTGGCACCCTTTTGGCTCCACTTTGGGGCTTAGGGATTTGTGTCTCACAACTCCACCACCCATAGATGAAGTTCGATGTCTTCATCAAATGATAAATTATTTTATAAAGTAAAACTAGCATGTATTACCCTTTCCATCCTTGGCACCTAGCCAATATTCGTCAATGGTTTGACACCGAAGGCTCATTATGTGTTGTCCATCAGCCAAGAAGCATAGTCTCTCTAACATAAAGACTCGATCGACCACCTATGGTGGTTCTCTCCCTTTCATTGGTTTAGTTCTCGCTAAACTTGTTTGAGACTCTTCCTCTATCTCAATCCCACTACTTATTCTCGAGTAGTTTCAACTTCTATCGATATAACCATTTCACTTCGGAACTTTTGACAAAAATTCAATAGTCAAAAGGGAAACTTTGTTACATCAGTGGACGTAGTTTAATATGCCAACTATAAGAGCAAGAAATCTAAAAGATATCAATCAAATGAAGTACTTACATAGCTGCTTATAAATAATCAAACAGAAGAGAAGGAAATGTTTTAAGAGAGACACCTAAGCTCAGGAAAATACATATATATGGATTTACTTATACATGAATTTAAAATAACTGAAATAATAATAATTATGACTTTTTAAACTAAATTTCTTAAATAAACTTAAATATGGATTGTTGTGCACTCAACGTCATCAACACATTATCTATGCCGTTTCCCTTACTGTCACCAATAGAGAATCCAGTCACCTACCAAAGGAAAACCAGAATCGTAAAACTCTCTTGGTATCAAAGTCTAGCTGAATCGCACCTGGAAAGCCTCCTTTACCACTAAATACTGGTGATCACATCTCTCTCGTACACTTTTTGGTATGCCTTACAGCTGCAATCTGCTCGATCATACCAAAATTGGAGCCGATAATAACACTCGAGGCATATATATCCATCGGATTAGACTTTTGATATGAGAGAGCTGATGAATTGTCCTTGTCCGAGAAAAATACGTATCCAAAGTTCGTTCGAGCATACTCTACAAAAAACAAAAATTAAAAATAAATGAAAAATGTATAACGTATGGACTTACTTTCATCGCCAGGCTGCTCATTGTCCTTGATAGCAATCAGTCTTCGGACGTCACTCTTAACATTTCGAACGACTTCCGACCAATCCGCAATGGCTGGCTTAAGAGGGTCTCCAGAGCACTTGCTTTGGATGTACAAAAGAAATGGCTCCAAATCAATGCCTTTTACTTCCTCGAGTATCAGGAAGGTATCAGCCCCGCTGTTCCGAGGTCCACAGATGGCCCAAGTCCCTGACCTTTGAACCTCCTCCTTTGAGCCTGGACTACTGTGTTTGATCCGAAACCAAAAAACTAAAAACAAGAACATACCTGGACTCAGTTGCTTGATTGAAACTGGAAAAGTGGGGAACCTGAACTTTCGGTTCTTCAGATTGTCAGGGATGTACCAATCGCAAGGCAACACGTCCGCCAGCATGAAGGTGTCTGAACCCCCCGATAGTAACTGCAAATAACATTTTAGTAACCGAGACTATGAAAGACTATGAACGTAGAATTCACATACCTTATGAATGTAGATGCTGAAGATCAGAGACAACAAATCGTTGTCTTCCTTCTGCTTCCAATCATCCGTTGACATTGTTGTCAAATCAAAAGTTGTAGAGCCAAAAAGGTCCTCCCGCTGGAGTGTTAGCTTATGCAGTAACACAGGTGAAAACTCCACCAGAGCCTTTTCTTCGTCAAGAACCACAGCCACTACTCCACAACTCTCCAGGGCTTCCCATGTCAAAACATTCTCTCTTGGAAAGGCCTGCAGCAGAACCGGTCCATTCCTTGAGACATGCTCACGAAGCATCGATGCTTGAATTGCTCGTAAGAAATAAGAAAATCTCTCATCCCCGGCAAAGCCATTGTAATACTCGAATCTTCTGCATAGGCTCCAGACACGATCCAGAATCCGCCTTACTTTGTCTCTCAGGAAGGGCTCCTGAATTCTCAGCGCAAGGTTGTCAATGTCAAGGGCCATGTCTGGGTCATCTGAAGCCAAAGCCTGAACCATGAAGGTAATCAACCTCGGATTCCCTCCGCTCAGCTTGCACAACAGCTGCATGCCATCATTTAAAGCGTGAAGTTCTTCACGGTTTGAAGTCCTCAGCACCTTGTTAAAGACTTGCAACACCAGCTTCTCCCGATCGTTGCTGCTGAGAGGGTTGACAGGAATATAAATCACTTCAGATGATCCAGTGTCACCGCTCTCTCTCAAAGATGCCGCTGTGAAAAGGTTGGTCGCTCCGAGCATAGTGACAAACGTTTTGCCACCCACGTTGCTGTACTTCCAAACTATGAACTCCCGAAACACTTTCTGAACAAGGACGTTGTTCCTCCCAATCTCATCAAAGAAGAACGACAGGAAAATGTTTTGGTCTCCGAGCTCACAGACTTCTCGCAACAAAGCTATCACGTCATCAAACAGGAGGAACTTCTTCAAATCAGGTGCTTTGGCATCAACAACAGCGACAAGCTCTTGGTAAAAAAAACACGTCCAAGTCCCAGTATCTTTTCTGATGTTATCTTGGCCATCTGCTCTAGAAACAGCTGCATGCAAAGTCCTCAGGGCCAAAACCTGAGCATCACCCAGCCCGGCCTCGCCAATGAAAGTTGAAATAAAATCATGGTACATGACCACGTCGAGATGTTCAACGGTGCTCATCATGGCATCCCACGGTCGCACCTCATCGGTTGATGTATCGAAAAGCGAGGCAAGTTGTTGAATCCTTAGCCCTGGATCACTCTGTTGCCTTCTCATCTCAATGAGTATTTGTGGGAGTGCCTTGCCAAAGGATGTTTTTCCCGCACCCGGGAATCCAACCACACCCATTATATGGTGGAGGCGCCTAAACACATCCCAGTCTGTGTGTTGATTGCTCATGAATTGCTTGTACAACAGCCAGTTACCCCTGAGCAAAGCATCCACAGTCTTCTCTCGTCCAACAATGGGAAACTGCTGCCCGATGTCCTTCAGAGACAAGCCAGTTGGCAAAGAAGATAATGAATCCCTTTCAAGGCATTTTCTGTACATGCGGGCATGCTTAAGACGAGGTCCAAAGAGCTCCTTCAGCTTGGCAATCCGATCACGGGCGTTTGACCAATTAACTCCACTAGAGGGAATGAGCTGCTGACGGAGCTGCTTTTTCTCCTCCATCCAGTGCTTCTGAAGCTCACGGAGCTGGTTCTCCTTCTCACGGAGCTGCTTTTTCTCCTCACGGAGCTGCTTTTTCTCCTCCATCCAGTGTTTCTGAAGCTCACCCTGCGTGGAATCCACCTTCTGGTTAGCGCGCTCCTCAACCTGCTCAATCGCTTGTTGCACGGCCCTGATCTCCGATTCCACTTCCTCAATCTGCTGCTGAATCGATCGCTCAGGCCCATCCGCCCTTTGCCGCTTCCCAGCCCTGATATCTGATTCCAATTCTTCCCCATCCGCCCTTGGCGGCTTCCCATGAGACTGCTCTCGCACCATGGCGGAGCCCTAACCTAGGTACTCTGTTTTTTAGGGTTCTAGCCGTAGAATGGGACATTGTGCGAGGCGAGCTTCGACTTCATTCGATGTGAGGAACACCTGAAACTGGCATTGAGGTATGTTCAGCTGAATCTGTGAAATGGTGTAGACTTTACTGAGTTTACCTGCATTCGGGCAGGTAAACTGGAGTAGGTTCAAAAGAACTAATGTTGTCCTCAGAGAGCTGATCTTTGGCTGATCAACACGTAAGATCAGTATCAGAAGGAAGAATCTTAAGCTGGATCAACTTGTTGCTGCTGTCTTATTCGCAGGTGTACTGTGAAAGCTCCGGATAGCTGGATGTGTTCCTCAGGGTTTAAAAGATCTCAAAGCCATCAGCATCATCTGAGTGCAGCAAATACAGCGGGGGAGACTTTGAAAGGCCACGAGGCCTGGCTGCTTCGACAGGATGCTTTACCGTCTCTTGATTTGCCAAAAGTTTATAATCACTTTTGCTCTTGTGTTTTCAGGTTCGTAAGAACAAGTTTGTCGAGATCATTCCTATCAACGTTGGCTGCTTGGGTGCTTGCACATACTGCAAGACGAAGCATGCTCGCGGGCATCTTGGCAGCTACACAGTAGACACACTAGGAAGGACCTTCGCCAGTTTCTTTTCTCTGCTACTGAGCTTTATCTACAGGTGCAAAGATTGAAAACTGTGGTGTCTGAAGGTGTGAAGGAGATATGGCGACACTGGAGCTTGTTACATGACACACCTCACCACATGTCCATTAGGGTTTTTCTGTTCTGTCCGCTAGTGCAGTGCATTTTAATCCCGATTTGTCTCATGGTATCGGAGCTGGGATAGCACTATGGAAGGAAAGCCATCCATCTGCAAGTTTGATGGAGAAGGCTTTGAGGGATTCAAGATCCATCTTGAATCCTATCTCTTGTTTCATGGTTTGTTGGGGATTGTAGATGGGACAGAGTCATCACCGGCTCCAGGCTCTAGCGCTGCTAAGGTGCGTGATTGGAACTTTCGGGATTCCAAGGCTAGAGGGAGTATTGCGATGTGCTTGTCCTCGAATGTTCTCTTTGCTGCCCCATCGATTCCAAAGTCCACTGCGGCAAAGCTTTGGAAGTGGCTGAGTGACACTTATGGCACCAAGAGTGAAATGGATGTCTTTAACATCCATTCACAAATGGATTCCTTGAGGCTAGAGGAAAATGGCTGTATCCAGACTCACACTGCCAAACTCTAGGGCTTCTTCACACAACTTGCGGCTGCTGGGGTGAAGCACTGTCTCACAGATGAGCAGTAGAGGCTACAGCTTTACAGGTCCTTGCCAGCTAGCTGGAAGAATACAGTTGAGAGCCTGCTTCTCCAACCAGGGATGACTTAGGCAAATGCCATGAGGAGTCTTCACAACATTGAGGCCATGCAAAGCGAGAGAACTAAAATGCCGCAAGCTATGTATGCTTCGCAGGCTTCTGGTGATGCCAAGGTGGCAAAACTGCATGCAGCTGCAAATGCCCAGAAAGGGCAAAATTCCATGGCATCTAGGTGTGCTAAGCCCAAACTTGCTAAGAATCAGTGTGCTCGCTGCTTGGAGATGGGCCACTGGGCTCGAGATTGCCTTGCTCCCAAGCCTGTCAAGCGACTAGCTATGCCGGCAAAAGCCAATCTACGCGAGTGTGATAGAATTGCTACAGCAAATGAGGCTGCTGAGGAGCTCTACAATACAGAGGCAATTGCAGCACCAAGCCGGTGGCTCTTAGACTTTGGTTGCACTAATCTTATGAGCAATAAGAAGAGTCTTTTTGAGTGTTATCAGCTGAGCATTCGAAAATATGGTGTTCATTTAGGTGACAATACCACTATCCCCATAGAAGGCATCGGGCAATTTCAGCTCTCACTTGATTATGGGAGGACCATGGCCTTTGATGGTGCCATGCACATTTTCACCTTGCAACAAAACTTAATGTCCATCACCAAGATATGTGATCAAAATGCAGTGGTAGTCTTTGATGCAAAGGGAGTCTCTTTGGTTGACTCTAGCGACTTTTATATGCTTGGTACACAATTGCTTCGTGGGTCATGCATTGGGGACTTGTATGAGATTACTGCTGCTGACCCGGTTCAGGCCCTTCAGACTGTGGAGGCAGATTCTTGTGCGGAGCTTTGGCATAAAAGACTTAGTCATGTTCATTACCAATCTCTTCAACGGATGAAATCCCAAGATATTGTTACTAGATTGGATTTCCGACATATCCCATTTACATTTTGTGAAGCTTGCATTTTAGGCAAGCATCACCATTGGAATTTCTCGCTGAGTAAGCATTGGACTTCTGGACTTGGTCCATTCTGATCTTTGCGGCCCCATGGACGTGCCAAGTCACAATGGGGCAAGATATTTCATCACATTTATTGATGACTATATCCGTCGAATATGTGTCCACTTCTTGATGCGTAAGAGTGATGCAGTTGCTGCCTTTCAAACGTACAAGGCTTACGTTGAAAACCTCCTTGGTCGAAAGATAAAAGCTCTTCGAGTTGATGGTGGTGGTGAATACCTCAACAATGATCTTTGGGGCATCTATCATGATGTAGGCATACAACTGCAAGCCACAGCCCGCTACACCCCCCAGCAAAATGGTGTTACAGAAAAGAAAAATCGCACTCTTGTCAATGCTACTCGCGCTTTGTTAGCTGATGCACATCTTGACAAGATGTTTTGGCAAGAGGCCATAGCCACAGCAATGCATGTACAAATTGCCTTGCCACGGCTGCTTTGGATGGAAAAACCCTTGAGGCATTTTGGACAGGTTCTACTTCTAATGTGTCCCACTTTCGGGTCTTCAGTTGTGCAGCATATGCACATACCCTTGATCAACTTCGGAAAAAGCTAGATCCCAAAAGTAAAAAATTCATCTTCATGGGATATGCACAGGATGACACCATCGGGAAAAAAACTTACAAGTTATGGGATCTTGCATCTCACAAGGCTCTTGTAAGCACAGATGTCATGTTCAATGAAAATGACTTTCCCATGTGTACAAAGGCTCTTCAAGATCTTTCTTTCATTGTTGAGACTCGACTTGTTCTTTTGATCCACTTATGGGAGATGGTCCACTCTTGCCTCCGCCTCAAGATCCTTCTTTCATTGCTGAGACTTGACTTGTTCCTTTGATCCACTTATGGGAGATGGTCCACTCTTGCCTTTGCCTCAAGATCCTATTCATGAGTTGCCACCAGAGATTCCACTGGGGAATCCTCCACTTCTGGACATGCTTGAACCAGCTGATGCTCCTCCAGTCGAGGACAGGCCTCCAACACCTCCACCACCTTGTCGACGTCGTGGCATGCCTGATCCGATGCCAGTTCTTGATCACCCCCGGGAATGTCGGCCCTCGTTGAAAGTCCGGGAAAATGCTGAAGCAGATGCTGCAAAGCTTGATGACTTTTGTGTCCTTGTTGACGTCAACATCCCCATGACCTATGATGAGGCCGTCTTAGGACCTGAGGCTTCATCTTGGATGGAAGCTATTGCGGAAGAAGTTTCTTCCATTCAGGTTAACAGAACTTATGTTCCAGTTGATTCAGGACGTGTTTTGGATCCAAAATGGATTGTTTCCAAAAAGTATGGGAAAGATGGTCAGGTTGTATGTTATAAGGCACGGTTGGTTGTTCATGGTTTTTGCTAAGTCCATGGCCTTGACTACAATGAAACATTCTCACCGGTTGTAAAAATGGCCAACCTCCGTACTCTTTTTGCACTTGCGGCTGCTCGCAAATGGCAAGTCCACCATATGGATGTCAAAATTGCATTTTTGAATGGAGATTTACAAGAGGACATCTATATGCATATACCTCCTGGTTTTGAGGACGATGTTGCCCCTGGTGGCCCTATATGGCAATTGCAGAAAGCTTTGTATGGCCTAAAATAGAGCTCCCATATTTGGTATCAAAAATTTGATGCCACCCTATGCGCTCAAGGCTTTCGTTGCTGTCATGCTAATCACAATGTGTATGTGAATGGTCATGCTGAGCACATGCTTATTGTGGCCCTCTACGTTGATGATTTGCTCATCATGGGTGATGACACCGATGCCATTGCTGCTTTGAAAGCTGCTCTCAGCCAGCAATTCCAAATGAAGGACCTTGGCCAAGTCTCCTACTTTCTTGGCTTTGAAGTCACATGTGATCCTAAGTCTAGTGGCTACATGCTTAGCCAACGATGTAAAGTCGAAGTCTTGCTGGATCGGTTTGGTATGCGTGATTGCCACCCTGTCAAGACCCCGATGGTCGTTGGTGCTATCGACCTCACAGTTGAGCAGTCTGGTGAGCCTCTACCCATTGGGACTCTCTATCGGCATCTCATTCATTGCCTCACATATTTAGCCTTGATAACTCACCCCACATATGTGACTATTGCCTTGAGTCAATACAACACATCACCAACCACTATACATTGGCAAACTGCCAAGTGTATCATGAAATACCCCCAAGGCACTATAGACTATGGCATTGCTTATTTAGGGGGTGATGCTTCATTGGCATGCTACACAGATGCTATTTTTGCCAACAACAAAGGTCATCGCTCAACTTCTGGCATTTGCCTTTCCTTCTCAGGAGGTGCCATCACGTGGGCCTCCAAGTGACAATCTATAGTGGCCATTTCTAGTGCAGAAGCAGAGTACATCGCACTCACTACTGGTAGAAGGGATGTGGTCTGGGCTCAAGGGTTACTTGCTGAGCTAGGATGTGCATAAGCTGGCCCCACTACTTCTTAATGTGACAACCAAAGCAGCATTGCCATGTCCAAGAACCCCGTCCACCATGCCCACTCGAAGCACATTGAAGTCCAATTTCACTACATGCGTGAGTTGGTTGACGGTGGCACCCTGGCCGTCCAACATCTCAGGATACAGGACATGCCAGCCGATCTTCTCACCAAGCCGTTGGGGCCACACCAATTTCAGCTCCTACGTGACAGATTTGGTTTGGTGAGTGGCTCCGGTTTGGGGGGGAGTGTTACACGACACACCTCACCACAAGTTCATTAGGGTTTTCCTGTTCTGTCTGCTAGCACAGTGCGCTTTGATCCCGATTTGTCTCAGAGCTTACGGTTATGGTTATCTGTTTCAAGCTAGCATTTTTTATTTACTTTTTTCTTTCTTTGCACCACAGGACGAGACATTGGAGCAAATATACCAGCGCTTCTACGTGCTTTAGTTGCCACACTTCCTCATAGACAGAAGTACAATGCTCCAAATCTACATCTTACAGCATCTGGAGGAAATGGCTGTCACCCCTGCGTGTATTCGTTCCTTCATGTTCTGGTTCAATCTGGAAGGGACTCGGTGTTGGAGGTACCGATGTTCTGGGTGATTGTTTTGTCTCTATAAGCCGTTTTCTGTGTTCTTCAGGGCATGAAGAGAGAGTACACGTTTGCCGAGTTTAGAAAAACTAGTCCCGGAAATTCATATCGTTACAGATATTATCTGTGGATTTCCAGGTACACTCGCATGCATGAAAAAGATTGTATCTTATTGAGCTTTTATCCTTGTCAGGAGAAACATCAGAGGATTTTGACAGGATCATGGAACTAATATGAGAGCACACGTTCCCACAGGTCCACATATCACAGTTTTACCCTCGACCAGGTAGGTAATCTCTGTACATGCTGCTGAATGGTTCTCACTGTCACTAGTGTTTATCCTGTCAATAGTGTTTATCCTTAGACAGGAACACCGGCGGCTCTAATGAAACGGGTTCCAACGCTTGAAGTGAAGAAACGAAGCCGTTCCTTGACAAGTCTGTTCGAATCGTTCACTCCTTA